GACTTACAGGTTATTGATTGTTAAACATTATCTTGATTAGTTCTCCAGATTTACTTTGAACTATTAAGTAAAAATAGTATTAGGTCTGAGTCAGGCGTACATTTGTACAAAAAGTTCCTGTATTTGAAATGTCACCAATTTTTGAATATTATAGTCCCAGCAACAATAAAACTTTTAGGGATTTTTTTTTCTTCTCTTAATGACTAAAATTAAACAATAATTTTATTAATTAATTAATTGAAATTAAATAGAAAAGGACAGAATTTAATTATAGTTGATCAACATTTATCGTACATGTATATAAAAGTACCATTAATATAGAAAATATACAGCCTTCTCAAACACAGGTTTTCAAACACATTTAAAACAACTTTTATTAACGTACATGTAACATGTGGCTGATAATACACATACTATTCATTAATGTACGTGTAATGTGTGGTTTATAAAACATGTAATTATGCATTTATTAACATAAGTGTAACGTGTGGTTGATAACACATGTAACTATGCATTTATAAACATACGTGTAATGTGTCATTGATTATACATGTAAACCATGCGTTTAACGTACATGTAACATGTGGTTTATACTACATATGTAAACCATGCGTTCATCAACGTACGTGTCACATGTGGTTGACAATGCACATGTTACACATACGTGTATTCCTACCGCACGTTTCACGTAAGTTATGTGAAACGTATGTTGTCACACGCACGTTATCTGTACGTTGTACCACGCATGTGTAACGTGCGGTTGGAATTCACGTATGTGTTACGTACGTTTCACATACGTGTAACATATGGTATGTGCTACCATACTACCATACGTTACACGTACGTGTAAGCTTCTCTCTCTCTCTCTCTTTCTCTCTCTCTGTACCGGTCATGTAGCTCAGTCGATAGAGCGCTCGCTCCGTGATCGAAAGGTCTTGTGTTCGAATCACGACTGCGACTGACTTAAGTCGATAAAAAAAGGTAGCAACTGTTCCTTCGCCAAGCGTACTTTGAAGTGAAAGTTGCAGGTCATTGGGATGAGACCGAGCCTCAAGTCACGGTAGGCGTTGTCAGGATAAAGAACCCTCACTGCCCAATGGCCCTGATCGAGTGCCGAGCAAAGGTCTAAATTTGAAGCCCTTTACCGGTATATGGTGACGTCTCTATAAGAGTGAAGCATTCTCGAACGGGACGTAAAATCGACCAATCCCTCTCTCTCCTCTCTCTCCCTCTCTCTCTCCACGGTTTAAAAATAATTTTTATTTTTTTCAATACACTTAAGACAAACAGTAATACTGTGTCCATGATTAGGGCATGAAATAAGTTGTGAATGAAAAAGAAAAGTGGGTAAAATATACCATCATATAAGTATTAATCTGTAATTGTTTGTAAAACAGGGCCTCAGACATACTGCAACTAAAAGTTCGAATGGCCTTTTATGATAACATCCATGCAAAAGTAATAACAGGAGAACCTCTTCCCAGAAAGAAATATGAGAATGCCCTCCCCCTCACACTGCATGAAAAGTCGGGTTTACTTTTACCTTAAATGCAATTTAAATGCTGCGGTTATTTAATGTTTAACTGCATAGTATAACATATTGTGGGATCGTAAACGTTAAAAAATAATTAGCATTTAATACGAGTTTAAAAGAAAATTAAAAGAACAAATTTAATAAAGTTTGGAAAATTGTAAACTTACTAATACATTCAGATTTAAGTCTTCCGTAAACAAATGTTATACCTTTAGTATGTAAAATGTATAATTATTATTAAACATGCACATAAAATTAAGTTTTATGTTTATATTATATTGTTTGGTTAATAAAATTTAATGTAGAGTTTTACCTTATTATTTGTTCTTGTTTAATTCACACTTTACTGAACAATACTTCCTTAAACTGAATTATATACGGGACAACTTACGAAATATGTCCAATTTAACCCTTTTATAAACTAATATTATACCTCATGTATAAACATAATTATATACATGGATTAAACATTTATTATTGATTTATTAAAGATTTAGTTTAATATTTATTTTTATCTCATTATTCCTTGTAGAATATATATATAATAATTAAATTGAAAACACAAAGACCACAAAGTAAAGCATTAGTCCTTTCAAAATCCTTTTAAAAATCTCCAGATGCTTTAAAAATTTTCTATGTATGCTTTACTGTGTTGTCTTTGTGTTTTCAATTTCATTATTTTCACTTTACTACTATACTGACCACTGTGAATTCATGGACTTCTGATATATATAATTTTTTTTTCAATTATTTTACAATCACACACAAATCCATTTTTCATATAATTTTATTACATTATGTTAATGACATACAAACAAATAAATCTTAAAAAAACTTAATAAGTCTATAAAATATTTCAGAATTTATACCAAGGTACTAGTAATTGGAATTCAATGCCATTATTATTATTATTATAAATTATTACATAGTGCTAAATATACTGTCAGAATTTAGAATTTTACAATACACAATTTAATGGAAATTAAGTTTTTAGACGCTGATAACAATGGGTCACAAAATAATTCATATCCAAACAAATTAATTACAACAATTTACAAAATAGAATTGCATACCACATTCAAATCTATCAGCATTAAATCTGCACAAAAGGTAAAAACTGCAGTCTATTTAGACTTCAAAAAAAAAAAAAAATACAATATCCATGATAGAAACAGTCCTTATCAAAACTGTTTAATGGGTTGTAAATTTAAAATAAAAGTTTATTCATCTCATTATGTGTCTTTCATATACAGCATGAAATACAAGGCCTTTTTGAAAAAAATTCTACATGTGCTATAGGCAAATTTCTCAAAAAATGAATGTGGATAACTTAAAGCACAGAGTCATTATACTTTTTAGCATGCAATTTGAAAAATATTGTTGAAAGTGATAATTTTGAAATCATTCACAAAAGATTTTAAGATCTTTTTCCATGATAATTTCCTATTTTCCATCCTTAAAAAGTTTTGGACAGAAGAGAAAGTACATTATGACCACATAAATTAGTGAACATACTGGAATACAAGGGCATTCATTTATATAAATTAGCACAAACATTGCAAGACAAAGAGCCAATGATTCTACATGTATATCAAGATCTAGGGGAATGGTACACTTATAACATTAAACATCTTTTGTCGTTTCAATTCTAAGAATCTCAATAAGCACAAGCAGGTAGACAGGAATATGAATACTGTGAAACTACATATATCTCATTAAAACAATTTTAGGCTAATTTAAAATTGAGACATAAAATTGACCTTTACACTCAAAGCATTTTCTTCTAGCTAGTCTATGCCTAATATATGTTCAGAAACAATATATCTGGAATATTCATGTACAAATAATATCATGCATTAGTATATTCATGTACACATGATAAACGTTCTTTAACTCTTTATTTTTATTAATAATTAAGTTGCCTTTTCTTCTTATTACAATATATTTTATGCATAAATGTCTTCTTAGTCTAGTTCTGACAGAGAAGCCTCACTCGCCCACAAGCAACAGCAAAAGGATCGGTCAGAGACGCCACCTTTCTCTTACTTGGGTATCAAGATCTGCAACTTACTGCCAGCAAAACTCTTTCAGACTACCCTTGCATTGTCTCCTAATTATTGACACAATAAATATCCATGCACTAATTATTCAAGTTAAACTTGTAAAAACATGGAAATAAGTCGGAGATTAAGAATGTTTGGCATGTGTGCTACACAATAAGCCAGTTGATCTGCAAACAATAAAAAATACGACAGCTTTTTAATCATTAAGTGAGTACAGTAAACATTTTATGTTGACTGTAAAAAATACATCATCAAGAAAACTTCTTTTATATCATGGTTATGTGAATTCAAATTAAGGAAAAAGCATCACAATTACACAAAACAAGTAACAGCTGCTAATTGATCTCTAATAGCCCATTTCTGTTCAATCGCTACATCATCAGGTTTATCACTTGTGGATTGAAACATAGCATATCCTCATCAAATCAATTTTACATTGGAACGCAAGACATTTTGATAATGATATTTTCAGTAAATAATCTTCTAGTCTTTGCCGTAAAATTTCAAGAATAAGCTCCGAAACATACATATGAAAGGCCTGTATAAACATATGTACAAGTAAATGTTACAAAATTTTTTAGCCTTACTCTTTATATTAATGCAAAAAATTCTGGTCTTAAACTCTTTACTTCAAATGAAAGGAAACAAATTAATTTCTTACTCTTGCAATATAATATACATTAAAATCACTATTTACCCTATTTACTCAGAAATCTCTTTATCTGGTCTGTTTAGTCTATTTTTTTACATCTAAGACAAACTAAGCCACTGACAGAGAAGCCTCACTCGCCAACAAGCAACAGCAAAAGGATCGGTCTTAGACACCACCTTTCTCTTACTTGGGTATCAAGATCTGCAACTTACTGCCAGCAAAGCTCTTTCAGACTACCCTTGATTGTCTCCTACTTCTTTTCACAATAATTGTCCATACACTAATCATTTAAGTCAAACTTGTACATAAATGTAATTTATAAATCAAGATTAAAAATGTATGTGCATGTGTACTATACAAAATAAGCGAATCGATCTTCAAACAATAAAAAATATGACCGAGTTTTAATCTGTAATCAAGCATCAGAAAACACTTTAACTGTCAAAAATACAACACTAGGTATATTTTTCTTATATAACATTTGAATGTGTCAATTCGAGTTAAGTAAAAAAAGCAACACAATTATGCAAAACAGTAGCAACTCAGATATTTGATCTCTAATAGCCCATTTCTGTTCAATCGCTACATCATCAGGTTTGTCTCTTTTGGATTCCTTATTTATCCTAATTCTTCTGATGCTCTGCCTTTTAGACAGCTTTGATTTGTGAGTGGCACTTTTGGTGTCTAGTTCTTCGAATACTTTTTAACATTCATCAGAACGCCACTTCCTTTGGTACATCACCATTCTATGCTTTAATGGAATCAGCTTTTCCAATCGGCGTTTCTTCGTCTTGTATGGATTGAAAGTATATGTGTATTGCACCTAAAATATGACATTGCAGCAAAAATTAGCAAAAGTTAAGAATGTCTGAAATCTTTAGTAAGATACATTATTTAATAAATGATTATTAAGATTCTTTTTCAAACTTGAAATTACAATCACACATATATCAAATATCCAAGGTTGTAAAGTAAACCCACAGCTAGAGTACCATATACCCTTTATTGACTGTGAGCAAATTAACATTTGCATTTAATTAATTCTAGACATTAACAATGAAAAAATATAATTATAAAAAAATTTGAGCTCTGTGTCCAAGTCTTTTTGAATTTTGCACTTGGTTGATCTCTTTCAGAAGTTAACAATTCTTTTCTTCCACTATCATCATATGAGCAATGTTTGAATTTTTGACTTGCAAATCAAATAAAAAATTACATGATTAAATTAAAGTATTTTTATATAAATGATACCATCAATCACCAGATGTATTAAATATTATACAATTATGGACTCTTTTGGTGTTGAATGTGGTTTGTTATTCACCACTCACCAGAAAAATATCAATATTGACCGAGACGAAGCCGAGGTCAATATTGATATTTTCTGGTGATTAAAAAACTACGTGTATATTCAACACCATAAGAGTCCATAATTATTGTTTTGTTATATAGTCCAGATTTGAATAAATAAGATATTGAAGGCTGCATGACGACACCATTTTCATTTAAGAACTTCCGTCATTGAAAATAGAAAAAATGTTCAGATTACAATTTGTAACTTCCGTGTTTTCCTTTCCAAGTTACGCTATGTGGAATATGTCCATATAATCCTGTGATAGGTTTAATGTATAACATTTTTCCTGCTCAGATACACAGCTGGCTGCGGCCGTTGCAACCATTGTTTACAATGTTGTTTGAGGTGTTGATTGTGATGTCACAATGCCGCTGCATGCGCACTGACCCTCTGGTAAATAAGGCCTCAAATCCGGTGATTATGTAGTGTTATGAACTGTTTGCGCTTGTATAGATTATGTAAGGACTTTAAATAGACTATATAATAATAAAGTATGTTTAACATACATTTAAATATTATTACATAAACTTTACATTTTTTATTCTAGATTAAAGATATGCTTTATACTGACCTCTAACAAATGCTCAGCAAGCTAGATAGATGCCTACGACGTACTGGCATATATGTTCAGTCATTTCTTTGTTTCCATCTGATGAAGGTCTGCAACACATGATCTCATCATATCAAATTACCTGAATTCCATTTAAAGAACAGTACTATAAATTTTATTCCACAGAAAATATTCTACATAATCCATAAACTAATACTTTTACCTTTAACATAATCATTCCAGCATTTGAAATTGAACGTGATCCAAAAATAAATTACCAAGTAATGGTATATGCATGTTCTATATCAACATTTCTTATCCACTAGATGGCTACCTCTATCATAGCTTAATTGTTGGTAGATTGTTTATTTTCTCTTGTCTTTCAGTCAAAATTTAATAAATACTTCAAACCATCAAAGGATCCAAAGGCCACATCACTCACCTGAGCAACCATGGCCATAACTTTGACCAAAACAAAAAAAAAAGGGGGGGGGGGGGTCAGGAGCACCTCATGGGGTCATATGTCTAGATCTTTATAACACTTGAAATGCCACACAAGTTGTGTGGTGTATCAAGTGTTTTTAAGATCTGACAATTGCAAGGAACAAGAATATATGATTTAGTGTAGCCCCACCCTACTTTCGGGTGATCAGCATGTCATAGTACAATTTTCATATGATATGTATTCATATCAATACACAATATTTAAGGTGCCAAGTAGAGTTTGGTCATCTGATATCCTGTTCAACTATGTCTGACACACATGTACAGATATTTAACCACATATCATGGAAAACAATAAGGTACGATGATTTGAACAAACTAAAAGCTACTTTAATTGAAGATGCTTCAACATAAGTTTCAATTTTTCTGGATAAATGGTTCAAGATTTTCTTTTAAATTGCCAATACATTTTCATTAAATTTGAATCATCTCCCCTTGAAAATGTTACTAGTTTTTTTATGGTTAGATAGAAAGACATTTTCATTAAATTTAAATCATCTCCCCTTGAAAATGTTACTCGTTTTTTTTATGGTTAGATAGAAAGACAGATGGAAGACGACAAAATGTGATCAGGAAAACTCGCTTAAGCTTTCAGCTCTTGTGAGCTTAAAAGTACATGTTATTATTTTTTTTCTTACTTCAACGTTTGGTTTCCACCATCAGATTTCAGTTTCCATTCAAGCTTTTGTGAATTGTCATGGGGATATCCATCATGCGCAGCAGTCTGAAAGTATACATTCACAGATTAACATATCAATTACAAATAAAACATCCTGATTATGCCTTTAAATGAAATCATTTGAAGCTAGACACAATGATAGTACATCATTTAGATTTATCATAATAAATGTTGCTTTATTATAATTGTAGCTTTAACAAAACAAGAAATCTGTGAGTCAATCATGAATGCTCAATAGTGATATAACCAACCAACCCCCCCCCCCCCCCTTTTGATGTGAATACACAAGTCAGTTAAAAATAACTGTGCTATCATCATGATCATTTGACAAGAAGTTGACATAACATTTAAACAAAAATGAATCCCAGTAATGTATTCCAGAGTTAGTTACGATACTTGTATACAGTATACATTATTACAATGTATATGGGAATAACATATATACATATATTGCAATTACAGCAATTCTGCAAAACTCCTTCATAGCAAATTTCAAGGGACCAAAGAAAGATCTTCGCTATAATCTTAATTCATTATATGTTTAATATAGTGAATTCATAAGAAATCCTATACCGAATTTGTTATAAAACAGTCAGCTAACAGTACTTCAAACTATTGTATGTTATATAATCGATATCACCCTCAGTTACAAAAATTGTCAATACAACCTTTTCACTTCCTTAGATGCACAATTCAAGAATTTAGTGTATAATATTTAGATTTGAACATTTAAATATTATCATCTAACCAATGCATTTGAAATGTCAGAAAATAATGAAACCTGCCATATATATTCATCCTTTAGCTTCATAATCATATCCATGCTACCGGATACATCTATAACAAATTAAAAATAGAACCGATGAAATAAAGATTTTATTTCCAGAACAATTTTTTTAATTGTGGCAAATATATATGATTTACATACATGGTGACTCACAAACATATGGAGTATTTATTGATGACTCGGGTGTCCACAACTCAAATTTATTGTCAACATGAACAATATCATTAAAGGATCCATTAAATTTCTGAGTTAACAATGCTAATGTAGTGTCATCTGCATCTTCATCGAACTCCTCATCATGATCTTAAAATCTTATGTATATTTAATGAAATTTGTAATGAAAAATATTTGTTATACTTAAATGAAAAAAAATGCATTAAAATATCTTAAAATTACTTCATTATAGCCATAAATTTGTTATATATAGCCATGTTCGTTACATACAGCGATTTTCTATAGGTTTATATAAGGACTTTGCTGGACATGAATAAAAATTCGCTATCTGTATCTATGTTTGTTAAATTTGAGTTTTGCTGTATATAGGAATTAGAAATTCAAGCATCTGCAAATAGCAGTTGCTGAGAACTGTGACGGAAATTCGTTATGGACAAAAACATGCATGCACAGACAGACAGACAAAAACGGTATTATACTGCCCTCTCATTCTGAAGGGACCTAGTCGGGGTATAATTATTCGGCCTATAAAAAATGTTTTGTTTGGTAATGAATTCTAGCATTCTTTTAATTTCAGCTATAGAAATAATGAAATAAAACTTCTGCACATTAATTCTATTTGAGTAATACAGTACATTTGTGTATCTCTATAAAACCCCCTTACTCCTTCACTTTCGGGAAACTGTGAGCTGTTAGTAAACAAATGCGATTGTGATGTCATTTTCTACATGCAGAAAAACTACAAAAAATCAAATGCCGAGAAATTAGTACAGTCAAGTTCAAGAATGCGATAAAAAAATATTAAATAACAATTGCACTTGATCTATTGTATCTATCATATTTTATGTGAAATCAGCGAATACTTTTTCCTTTATCAGTGAGTGTTTATGCACTATTCCATGTGCTATTCCTCCGACATGTGCGTTAATAGCGAGCGCAGCGAGGCGGCGCAAAGCGCCGCTCACGTAGCGAGGTCCATAGACAACGTGTACGAACGGAGGAAATTCAGGTTGAAATCTGCACATTGTTCAAAGAAATTTTTATCGTCCCATGTGAAAATATTCCATACTCCCAATAATCCTTTGCGGTGCATAGCAACATGGTGGCATAAGCATAGCAACAACTTACTTGATAAAATTAATAAATAACGAATTAATTCAATTTCCATGTGCCGTAATTACCCACAAAACTATCGCTTGCATCCCTGGTAAACACGACTTTGTATGTGACGTCATATTTTTGTCACTTCAACGACTCAGGTATTTCCAATTTTGTCGGAAATATCCGAGAAGTTAGGAATTTCGATCCCAATGCATTGGGAGTCTGCAACGTTAGAGAATATGTACGTCAATAACGGTTTACAAAAAAAATTATGTACGATACTCAGTAAACGCGCGATAAAAGTGTAATAAGCAATGTAAAACGACATTTGAGATGTGTTGAGTTTTAGAAAATGAACTGCGCTCGCCCTAACGGTTTCACAGTCGGACATATTTACATGTCAGTCATTTTTATGAAGGTTTTAGCCAAAGGATTATTATGACATACCATATTGAATAGTTATACGGCTAAAAATATTTTATTTTTCGTCTCAAATTGCCCCAGTATGCTACGTTGGATATAATATAGTGTGACGTTCATACATATACGAGTCATCTATAGATATTGAAGGTTTCCCATGGTCATATTGCACGTTTTTTAGTGTTGATGTAGCTGCAGAACTGTAGCTCTCCGAAAAAATATATATTGACAGACCGGAGACTGGTCGTCCATCCCAATTGTTTCAGACCAGTGAGCTAGATTTTGCAGCTAGTGTTGATGTACATGTAAATAATGACTTTTTCGCCATCTTTTTTTTCTTAAACAGTATCAGAGTATGTTTACCTGCTTTACCTTGAGCATGTTGAGGTGCCCTTTTCTTCCCTTTCTCAAATGTCTTGCATTTTCCCCAATAATTTCATCGATGTATGAATCCGATGGTTCTGGTGAATCGAAACTATTCCATGAGCATGATAAGGATCCATCCTCCTCGCTAATTTCCGATACTTGGCCTGTCCGACATGTTTGGTGCTGTTTGGCGGGCTCGGAATATTCGCGATGCTGCTGCCTGATTTTAAATGGCTAATTTATAATTATGTATAGCGTGCGCGTAGAGGGAAAAATCATTTTATATTAGATAGGCCTATTTGATTTTTTTTATTATTATTTCTCAAACTTTAAAAGGAAAGAAAATTAAAAAAAAAAAGATTTTGATTCAAATTTTTTGGAAGGGCAGATAACTCTATTATAAAAAAAAAAAAAAAAAAAACTGAGCCTGAGGTGTAAATGATCATGACATATTGATGATTTTTTTTCCCTAATATTTAATTAGATATGTTAAGTAAATTAGATTTAAGTCGTCTTTAAGAATTTTAAATATATGAGCATTTATAGATAAATACAATAGTAAATAACAATCTATGATTATTAAGAGTGTAGCACAGTCCAATTTTTACAAAATTCGATATTTGCAAATACAGCAGCGATCTCAGTATAAAGTAAAATCTCTTTCGAATTAAATCTCTCTCTCTCTCTCTCTCTCTCTCATGATATTCTCCTGAATCAAACGTTATATAAAAAATTCAAATATCTTTATTCATTTGGTTCATAATAAAATTGTTAAAATTTCAGGGTGGGGCACCTGTTTTTAAAGTATGTTCTACCAATATTTTTGATGACAGTGGTCTATCGCCAGAATACTTGAATAAGTAGTAAGTCTTGCGTCATTCTCAAATTAATTTTTGTACGTTCAAAGATCTGATTGAATTAATATTTTATGCAATGCGTTAAGTAAAGGCTGAGAGAGAAAGAGAGAGAGAGAGAGAGAGAGAGAGAGAGAGAGGGAGAGAGAGAGAGAGAGAGAGATGATCCTTTGAAACTGGACAATTTTGGCTACCAAACAGGATCGAGTAGGTTTTAGAATAAACAGCATCAAAGTAAACAGAACAATTTGATCCAGTTTCATAATACATTTTTTTTCGACAAATTTAGATCTAGTACTACCGTACTAATAATATACATTGTCAATATTAAATTATTTCAGAGTTAATAAAAAGCCAAACAAAAGCGATATATGTAGGATGCTTTAATGTAAATGTTTTTGTCTTTTTGCGATAATAAATATGTAAACAATATTTATTCTGTATAAAATAAAAAAAAAATATTGACACATTATTTATCACATATATAAAATACCAAAAACATACTTAAACTTAAAGTATAAGCGGATTTACTTTTACATGTCGATTTTTTAAACGAAACGTATAATTTCTTCTATTAAACTATATTATTCTCGATGTTTTTTGCATTAAATCTGATTATACTTATTTGAAAAATGTAGTAAATTATATCACAATATATTTTATATAAAATGTAACGTTATACATAAATTAAATTCAAAACAAGAAATTTAATTAAGTAAACAAATTTATTAAATTATATTAAACGCAACTTTTCATGCAGTGTCATACAACGACTCTCAACATGTAAATATCTCTTGTGAATTAACTGTACATTAAATATCAATCAGTGAACAGTCCTTTATTTGTTTCAATGGAGATGTTGGTTGAGAAAACTCGACTCGACCAAAGGAATTTATACATAAAATTTACTACCTAAGTAAATTTAAAAAAAATCGCAGCTAGGTTAAGGACGCCCATGAAATATGTACGCCTTTATACATTCAGGGAAAATGAATACAATTTTAATATTTTTTTTAACAGCAGTAGTTTTGATAAATGTGAATTGTGGTGTTCGCATTTGTATATATCGGGTCTCTGCTAAGTTCGGCCAAAGTGACATCGCTTACATCAGCTGTTTGTCACGTGACAGGTTTAAAATTGGACCATATATGTACTACTACAAAGATCGTAAAAGTTCAACGATATACGGGCATCTTTCCGCTTTAAAATCTATTTTGTTTTCTTTGAGACAAATTCCTTAACCCGAAAAGTGCTGGGAGCAACTTCCTCATGCTCGAGAATTGTTTAAAATTTAGCCGTCTTTCTATAAACTCCAAAAATGTAATATACGCATTGGAATAATGTTAGATTACGGAATAAATAAACAACGTACAACCAGCTCCCAGCACTTTTCAGAATAATAGGAATAATAGCTACACGTGTTTAAAAATTCAGAATTTATAGTGAAGCGGATATCATTGAACTTTTGATATTTTCGAGGGGCTGGACCTGTCATTCTAGCACGTTACTGTACAAATGTGCTCCCTACGGCTTTATATAAAGTCTACACATTATCAATTTAGTTTGACAATAAAATGTGGATTAATATGTTTTAGAATATGTCTCTCTTTTGGCCCGACTACGCATGTTTCGTATTTATTTTTATTTTTACAAGCTACGATAAAAGCTTGATCCACGCCTCAAATACAGAGAAACTGCGTGTCAAACTAAGAAATGACGTCATCTCAGTAAGTACAGCGAGATCAAGCTTGCTTTCATTCTACATACGCTAAGTGCTATTATGGCAAGATAAGTTCCACATCCATTTATCTTTATAACATTTATGAGAAACGGAAGTATTTAGTGCGTTTTAAAAAGAACATATAGTATTTATTCATCGAGATTCATTTGTATCGTTATAACGTTATAACGTGACGTCATAATAGCTTTGCCGAACCTCTGCATAGGCTGACGTATATATGGGAGTCCTTAACCTAGCTGCGATTAGATGCAAGGGCAGATCCAGAGAGCTCATATCCACTTCACATAAAAAAAATGATTTTTTTTCACAAGGAAAGTAAAAACTAATCAAGCGCAAAAAATTATTCGTATGGGTGGGAGGGGCACTTCTCATTGGCAAGCCGTTTTAATTCATG